TTCAGTTCATCGGTGAATTTCCTCATTAAATAAATATTTTCGGTTTGATTCTGCTAACTTAATCTTTTTCTTTAATTTGCAAAAAGAAATTTTCGCGGATGTATTCTATTTTTCGAAGCTCAATTCTTAATCCACGAGAAAGCATCAGACAATTTTGATCACAACACAGAACGCGTTCTTTCCTTTATAAGAATGATGTTTCGTTGTCTGGAAAAGCGCCAGTACTTCGAAGAATCCATTCTTAGGTATCTCTTTACAGAAAGTCAAAGAATATTATTTTATTAGGAAAGAAATCTATCCTGACTGTTCTGAAAAAGAACGAAGGAGAATCCTTTCACTAATTAGTTAGTGGAATCGTTCAGAAAGCTTTCTATCCAGAAAAAGAACGATTTCAAACGAAGAAGAAAGCATTTCATGATATTATAAAACGGCGAAGAATGTTTTCCTTCAGAAGTAGGCCGTATTCTTGTCGACTTAGAACGCATTCTCGAAATTATAGAACGCTTTAATGGACGACAAGATAGCTTTCCATGTTTTGACGAATGCTTTACTCGCGTTATTTTCCAAAAAAATTTTCACTGGGGAGCATGCCACCGTATTTCTCCCAACATATATTATGTAAATAAAAATAGAAAGAAAACAAGATACTAGGTTATTTCACACATAAGGCTCTTACACTTACGTACTGCTGTTTCTGTAAATCATAGCTCTTTTGTATTTAAGGTAAACCAGTACCAAAAAGAGGACAGTGTAAGAGCATGCCTGATATCGCAATCTGTTAAGTTTTCAGATAAAATTGCTTATTATTATTTACCAAGAAGTAAATGATAAATTTGATCAAACACATATTGTGATGAAGAAAATCTGCACACTAGTGACAACACTGACTTGTCTAAGAAAATCTTTTCAATGAAATACATCAATAGAAAACTAACATATTGGACGAATCATGTCTTTCGAATAACATAGGTATTCAGCTACAATAACTTCGTCTGTATCAAGAAAAGTAAATATATATATTGATGCTTAACATGATACGACTACTTTTTGGTGATTAAACATTTCTTTACATTATCTTTGTGTAATGAAAATTGACTTGAAAATATATGTTTTTTCATATGTATGGTATAATGACAATGTCTTTATTGATATTGTTTTATGCAATAGTGTTGCTTTGACAGGCTAACGTTGCTACTAGTTTTTACATGTTCGTTATTGCATCATGTATTTGATCAGATTTGATCACTTATCTCTTGATAAATTCTATAAAGTAATTTTTACTATCTAGTAGACGACACCATAGCTGTATTTATTCTTTAAGATTGTTCTTAGATTATGTAAGAAATTTTTCTCAGTTTTCGTATAATTTCCTTTTGATTTGTTTATCTGTACTTCAACATCGTTCGACAAACAACTAGTTACCACCATATGGATGACTGACTAGCCACACAATGCTAAGGTGATATATGATAAAACACTTTACATATTGTCTTTTATGATATTTAAATCGATTTTTGTCAAGATAAAAGAGGTGCGATCATCTGCACACTGAAAGATAGTTGTTTATTACAACTACTCCAAGAAGTCAATGATCAACTCTGATCTTATACATATTGTTATGACGAAAATATGCAGACGTGTGGAAATATTTGTCTGTCAAATTAATCCTTTCTATAAAAAATACTGAAGAAAAAGCAAAGAGTTCAGCGACATAACTATACATGATTGTAGTATATAGACATTATTATTTGCTGAGTATTCAACTGAATGTTTCTTTCATTATTACAAAAGAGTATATTAACTTAGTCAGAATCTCAATGCTGGTCGAAGAAATTCAACTTAATATCGCTGTGGTTTTAGTATTTACTTGCTGTTCATGGGATTCATTTTATTTAGACATTGTCGTTCTACAAATCATAGTTAACAAAAGAGAACATTCAACAAGAACATCAACAGACTCACGATGTATACGATATTAGCTGAATATTTGTTTCTTTTCTCAATCAATATTAGGTTTTACTTTTGACTAATATAATATTAAATGAAGAAACTCAATGATTGTTCATTGACGATTTTTATTCGAAAAGTATCCAATTGAATTCTAACATTACTAGGGCCTCAAAATTTCCATATATTATGAATTTCCAATTTACTTGAGTTCTTTGAATCAATATACTATCGGTGAAGTTCTTGGTCCATTATTGAGCCGTTTTTTTATTTCAATTAATTTATTTCATCTGTATCAGAAAACATCAGTAATAATCGGTATAAGTGTACTTAAACAGACAAAATCAAGCAAAGTAATGATGAAAATATAAAAAAACTCGTCTTTAAAATTCATCATTACTTGTTCATATGAGAGAAATCAAATAAAATCATCAGTCATGCCGAGATCTGGAATTTCATCAATCTATCTTTATTTAACATTTATTTATATGTTTTTAAACAAATTTGGATGTGGCTGCAGATTTTCTCCGTAGTAATTACACATCCTCTGATGAATTTAAAAAATATGTTTTATAATCATGATCGTTTTCCGTTATAAATTCTCAGATTTGCTATTGCTTTGTGAAAAGTCTAATTATTACTTTCACCGCTGAAGAAATAATCATCCGTCACAGATTGAAATATTTTGCGTTGAATAGCAACAATTACTAAATTCAATGTCTATTTAAACCTCATAGATCAACATTTTTCATTGTATCTACAAAAGATATTTTTATAAATAATCAAAGAAAAAAGTAAAAATAGAAATTAAATACAAAAAAAAAACAAATAAACTCCTTTAGTATTATTTGTCTTTGATAATTATTAAAAAAAAATAATTTATCAGCTGTCATATAATAATGCTATCTATCGATTAGAATTCTTCAATACTTTAACAAACAAAATAATTCATGTTATTCATCATAGGTGTCGTTTCTAAGCGACGCTTGATCAAAGGCCAATGTTAGAAACAATATTTGAAATCACTTTCGAAAATGTCTTCCACCGCTTCAAAACAGATTCATGTAGAAACTGAATATGATACGTTTGATTTAAACGGATATACATGCGAATTATCGGCAGCTTCATTTGTTCCACCAACAAGACGAACACAACCGAAAGAGAGAAATTATTTTAATTCACATAAAGAAGTAATTATATTCATTTTACCAATAAAATAAAATAAAATAAAATAAAAACTTGTTTATGTTAGACAAAACCATCATCAATTTATGACCAAATCTTTCAAATAAAATATGATTTTAATCCCAAAGCACATCGTGATGATCGACAACATTCAAAATTTATTGGATTAAATCAATCAAAAGAGGTTTAATTTGTTCATTTGAATTAATTTTTAATAAATATATTTTTATCATATAGGAAGAAGGAAAATCTTATCCAACTAGATCATCATCAGAATATGGTCGTCGAAATAATCAGCCACTTGATATCAATGATCGATCGCATGTTCGAATTGCACATGTTAAAAATGAATTCTATCGAAATAACGGTGTTGATCAAAAACCTATTCAATTGTAATCGAGTTTTTTTTTTTATACTATTTTATATGCAAAATAAAGAAATTGGAATTCTGCCGGTTTGAGAGTTCAGTATGAATATCTACTATTATTACGGACGATTTTTACTTGTCAGAATTTTAAATGATTGAAGCAAGTCAAAATAGGAAGAGATTGTTTGACTGATAAATTATCGGTACCAATTCTATCGGTTTTGTTTTTCTATGCTTTTATACAAGAACTATTCGGTCGAATTTAAATGATACGATCAGATTAAGTTGAACTTATTCTTTCATATGTACAATAAGTGGATCAACGATGATCCGATGATTATTTCATTTGATAGTATATGATATAGTATCGTTTTATGATAATTTTATCAGATCAACATAGTTGGTTTTCAGCTAAATCTGTCAGTTTCAATCAGTACTTTAAAATGTAAAGGAAAAAAGAAAATGTCATAAGTAGTAATTAAAATTTTTATACATTTTCTGTTTTTTTTTTTTGTCCCAGAAAACAACAGATCGTAAACAAACTAATTATATTATTTAGGAGAAAAAGTATTTATACAATGATTAATTAAGTCACATTCAATATAACTTGTAATAGCTCGTTTCAACCTTTAGTAGAATATTAAAATTTTCTATTATCCAGAAAATTATGGTGGCGTAAAGAATTTGAAAAGAGCTTGTCACTATTTAAAATATTCATAAATCATTTTAAATTCAGTTTTGATTGATTTTCAGCTAAGAATTTGACAAACTAGACATATTTTCTATCAAATAGATTAATTAACGTAACTATTTGTTCAATACGAAGGATATTTTATTATCAAAGGAGGATTCTGATGAAAATTGTTGGAACTAAGATGAACTTTTTAAAATAAAAAAAACATTTTTTTAATTATCTCTAGTGAAATTTTCAAAAGAGGTGTTTTTTTTTATTCTATTTGAGTCAGCGTTCCTCAAATTATTTTCAGTTTCAATTTCGTCTAAATTTTTCAAAATCCAAGTCGATTTTACCTTTACTATAAAGTTTTTGATCTCCAATACAGATACACAAGTAAACTTCTATTCGTATTCTAACTGTATTTAGTTCCATAGTTTTTATTATATTCTTCATGCCATTGAACAAAACGTTTATACTACGGACGAAAACGAAAAGAATGCATTTTTATTGTTAATTATTCCTTAATTCTTCATAAAGATCAGAGATATGATTATTTCGTGTTTTTTTTTTAAACTGAACCAAATGGATCTCATCTCTGCAGTGAATATTTGTTTTATTATAAAGAAATATTGAAAATACAAATATTCATTAAAATATGACAATAAAACTCTTACGTAATATAAAAATATTCATCTTTTATCATATATTTCGTTAAGTTAACAACGGGCAACTTGATATTCATTTCACTAAAGAAAAGATAATGACGTTTCAATGTTCATTGGATCACTTGTCCAAAAACAAGATGTATTTCCTGTATAATACGCAAATTAATTAAACATTAAATAAATAAACCATCTTGTATAACGTGCAGCATTGTTTACTGTAAATGAAGAACACGTTGTCATTATAGACTTGTTGTAATTGTGTTTACGATTCTCCTTTTTCAATGACTCACTAATAAGTAATAGACTAAAACCTTTCAAAAGACATAAGAGTAATAAATATTTTTTGAGACTAAAGTCGAAGATCAAAGTGATTCTAATGTGCTGATTAACTATGTTATGATGAATTTATTTCTTGTTCAAAGAGTCTTTGCTAAATGAATGTAAATTTAGGATGATATCTGTAAAATTTTCTTAAATATCTAAGCTTTCTCAAGCCTTTGTCGCCTATAATGGAAACCTCTAGAAATACGTGTTATCTGAAATTGAATTCAGTTAGGTAGTTGTCCTGTCAGCAGCTTACTTTTGTTTGATCACGACAATGCAACTTCGTTTTTCGTTAAAAATTTCATGTTATAGTTAATCGTTATTCATGATGAAATATATGCTCAATCATTCTACTATCAATTGCATGTTACAATAGTTGAAAAATAAAATAAAATAAATGTGTGTTCGAATCTTTGAAAATCTGTTGACCATGGAAAATGTTGTATATGTACACAATTCACCTTGATTACGAGATCTCTTATGTAAAAGCTAACATTTGAAAACAAAATAATATCTACTTGTAAAACACATATATTTTTTTATTATTATATAGAGTTAATTATAATATTGATCTAATTTTTGAAGGTTTTCTTTTACAGACTTATGCTCAAGAAGTAAATGAAATTTCTTGTCACGTTTAATATAAATCTGTTATTATTTTACTTTAGTTGTATCAATATTTATCTCTTGATGTATTGTATATAATATCAATGTAACGAAATGAAATACATTCTATCAGTTTAAATGAAAACGAATAACTCATTATTTATGCAATGATTTTCTTTTAAGTTTAACAAATAATGATATTTGCAATGAAAAAATATTTATTTGAGTAGGTTAATGGTATATGAATACTCAACCCAATCATTATTTTTTCATTTTCAATAGCCAAAAAACATACTTGAGAACATCTGAAAAATGATGATAACCATATTTCTACTTCTATCCTTTACAATTTCAATAACAACAGCTCAACAAAGTACATCATCACAAGCATCTAATCCTTGTATGAAAAATAGTGATTGCGTTCAAGGAGTATGTGATACAAATAAAACAACTTCTTCATGCATATGTAATCGTGGTTGGACATTTTCACGAGATGGATTTCAACGATGTACTTATCAACAAAAATCAAAATTAGCAGCATTTCTTCTTTCATTCTTTACTGGTGGTTTAGGTGCTGATTGGTTTTATTTAAGTGTTGGCAATGGTGGTTATATTGCAGCTGGAGTTTTTAAACTATTAACTCTTGGTGGTCTTGGTATATGGTGGCTTGTCGATTGGATTCGAGTTTTAACTAATTCATTTCTTGATGGACAAGGAGTTGCTTTACTTGAATGGACTCCATGAATAAAAAAAAAAACAAAGACAAGACTTTTTTCGTCTCTATCGTTTCCTTCTTCTTTTTTAAATATATATTATATAGCATATGTTTCGTATTTTAAACAAGGTCGTTACTTGTCTTAGAAACAAAAAAAAAAAAATTGATTGAAGCAGTTGTTCTAATGAGTACTATATGTCAGAATAGAATGAAAACGGTGAACATTACATAATAGAAAGAAAAATGAAGATCATCATCTTTTCGATTTTATTTACTGTTCAAGGTAATTTAAAGAATCTATTTGAGAATTTAAAAAAATATATTAATCTTATTCAGGTTTGAATATTGATGATGGATTGATATCAAATGAAAATTCATCCATAACCAATGATTTAAATGTGGTTACTCAAATGATAAATGAAAGTGATAGAACAGTTCTTCTACAAACATCAAATGATATTTTAACAAGTCGATTCGATATTGATCAAATCAATTTGCCAACTATTCTTCCTGAAAATATTTCATCTGATGTAACATTCGACAGTCAAACATGGCCATCATTATTTGTTTATGATAATTCGTCATTGTCTTCATTTTTGCCTACGACTGATTTTTATTATACAACATCGTCCGAAGAAGTCAAAATAACAATGGAACAACAATGGTTTAATATCAATCAAAGTCATGCACGAGATCCTTATAAATCTATTTTAGTTTGGAAACATGCAAGCGGTATTTTAATTTTATTTAATAGTACTTAACTTTTAAATGTTAACCTATGAATTAAGTAGGTTCTAGATGGCATGGTGGAACTTATATTCTAACATCTAAACCTTCATGTGTTCGTCAAATGTGTTCTGTTAGATTAAAATATAATGGTACATTACCAAGTCTTACTAGTGGTTGTCTTTCATTTACTCTTCGAACACGTGGTCAACCAGGTAAAATAAATAAAACATAGTTTTTAAATTGATACAATATTTAATTTAAGTGGGTCAATTATGGATTATAGAAGATCGTGAACAAGAAAATACTCCACAAAAAATTCAATTGACTAGTAAAACATTACATATTGAACATTCATTAAAATCGAAAATAAAAAATGTAAGAAAATAATTATATATTTATTTGTCCTTTTTTGTTTTTTTTTTGTTTTGTAAAATTTTAGTTATCGATTGAAACACGAATTTTATTTCGTAATCCACAAATAGATACTGTTATTTTATCGAATTTAAATATTGATTGGAAAGGAGCTTGTCCAAAACAACGTTCAAGTAAATATTTAATAATAAAACAAATTAATCATTTATGAATATAATCTAGTTCCAACACCTTCTCCTCATATTATCGCACGTCGAGCAACATTAGAAGATGATTATATGACATTAACTAGTGAAGATTCTAATCTTTTGAGTACATTAATAACTAATGAAGAATTTACAATTAGTCAACAAAGTTTAATATATGAAACAACAACTACTATATTCAATCAAGATTTAATCAAAAAATCTTCATTTTCTTTAGTTAATCAAAAAAATATTGGATGGTTTTTATTATTAATAGGATTTTTTTGTTTTTTTATTGTCCTATGTGCAATTGGACATGGTTTATGGTTAATAAGACGACAACGTTATTTTACTTGGCATGTAACTTTTGATTCACAAATTCATTTAATTGCTCGACGATCAATTCGATCATCAACAAGATCAGAAACTAAACTAGCTACTGTTTCTCAAATAGCTTATGATATTCTTAATGATGATTTACAAAAAGAGCATAGAGATACTCAAACGACGAATAGTAATCGATCAACACCAATATCATATTATACTTATCTCTAATTTTTTAATTATTTCTATTATATTAAAAGAAAAATAGATTTTTAGAATCGAATATAACAGATAAAAATAATTTATAGAAACAAAAACAAAAAAAAAAAAGATTAAACTAATAGAGATTTCTGTAGAAAATGTTCAGTGATGGTGCCCAGAGAACAAATCAAGAGCGCGACAGAAGAGTATTTCGAAATAATTTAAGAAACATATAATCTAAAGCAATTACATTCAATTTTTTTATTATTCTACTATCAATTGAGTAATCTGTTTTTTTTTTTAATATCTATTGAATAGATCAGTTAGTCTAAGTCATTTACACGTTATATATATATATATATATAAATGATACATTCAGAAAACAACAAATATTTCTTTTCAAATGTAATTTATAACAAAAGAAAAAACTATTAATATCAATAACAATTTTGTCGTTTGAGTAGTTTTTATTTTGTTTCAAGGTCACCAGCATCTTCGTCATTTTCTTCATCACCTTCAGCATCAATAACTGCTTCTTGATATTGTTGATATTCACTAACAAGATCATTCATATTCGATTCAGCTTCAGTAAATTCCTATAGTAAAAGAAAAATTTTTTATAATATAAAGAAGAAAATAAAAATTGAACAAACAATTTCATCCATTCCTTCACCCGTATACCAATGAAGAAAAGCTTTTCGACGAAACATAGCTGTAAATTGTTCAGCTACACGTTTCCATAAATCAATCATAGCTGTTGTATTTGCTGAAGAAAAATAAAAAGTAAATAACGATTTAATAGAAAAAATAAAACAAAAATTTATTCAAAATCGAACCAATGAATGTAGCTGACATTTTAAGACCACGAGGTGGAATATCACATACAGCTGTTTTAAGATTATCTGGAATCCATTCAGCAAAATATGAATTATTTTTTTCTTTTACATTTAACATTTGTTCTTCAACTTCACGCATTGACATTCGACCACGAAATACAACAGCTGCTGTTAACTAAGACAAAATATTTTCAAAAAAACAAAAACAAAAACAAAACTAAATAATCAAATATATGAAAAATCTTATTGTTTTTTTTTTACATATTTTCCATGACGTGGATCACAAGCAGCCATGAGATTTTTTGCATCAAATATTTGTTGAACAAGTTCAGGTACTGTTACAGCTCGATAAGGTTGATTACCACGTGATGTTAATGGAGCAAAACCGGGTATGAAAAAATGTAGACGAGGAAAAGGCACCATATTTGTTGCTAATTTCCTCAAATCAGCATTCAATTGACCTTAAATTATATATTTTTACAATAAGATCATTTTTGTGTTGTTTTTTTTTCAAAATAAACCTGGAAATCTTAAACAAGTTGTTGCTCCACATAAAGCAGTTACGGCTAAATGATTAAGATCTCCAAATGTTGGTGTTGTTAATTTTAATGTTCGAAAACAAATATCATACAATGCTTCATTATCAATACAAAATGTTTCATCAGAATTTTCTAATAGTTGATGTGCTGATAAAACACAATTATAAGGTTCAATAACTAAATATAGAAAAATAAAAATAAAAATAAAATCAACAATGAAATTTTTATTTTAAATAACCTGTATCAGAAACTTTTGGTGATGGAACAACTGAATAAGTTAACATAATACGATCAGGATATTCTTCACGTATTTTTGCAATAAGAAGTGTTCCAAGTCCTGAACCACAACCACCACCCAATGAATGAATTAATTGAAAACCTTGTAAACAATCACATGCTTCAGCTTCTTTTCGTACAACATCAAGAACAGAATCAACTATTTCAGCACCTTCAGTATAATGTCCTTTAGCCCAATTATTTCCAGCACCTGATTGACCAAAAACAAAATTATCCGGTCGAAATAATTGTCCATATGGACCAGCACGAACTGCATCCATTGTACCTGGTTCCAAATCAACAAGAATGGAACGTGGTACATATTTACCACCTAAGATATAAAAGATTAAATAAAAAGAAGAAAAAAAAAAATGTTTTATATTTAGTTATTTTTTCATAAACTAACCTGTTGCTTCATTATAATAAACATTAATACGTTCTAATTGAAGATCAGAATCTCCATGATAAGTACCTGTTGGATCAATTCCATGTTCATCAGAAATAACTTCCCAAAATTTTGTTCCCATTTGACTAAAATAATTTTCATAGAAATAAGAAAAAATATTGTTTTTTTTTACGCACTTTCCGCATTGACCAACTTGAATGTGAACTATCTCACGCATTTTTTCTTTATGATGTATTCTCTATTGTATAGCCTATAATTAGAAAAGTGACGCGCCAATAATCAATCAACCGATTATTTATGAACTAATTTTCATTTTTTTGTTATAATTCTAATTTTTCTATGTCATTTCTATTCTATTTTTGTCGATTGAAAAAGTTCATAATGAAACTGGAGTCTTGATATTACTAGTCAACAATATTCATCACTTAAACGATTGAAGAGATTTGTTCTAGTTAATACACTTTGAAGTTCATTTGTTGAAACCAATTCATTTAATTCGAAATTATGTTTAGATCTTACAAATAAATTCTCAATAATGCCAAATGAGTAAAACTATACTCAATATAAGGTAATCGATTTTTATATAAAGGAAACAAACTATCAGCGATTATGTCTTTAAAAAAAAACAATACTAAATCGAAAATCATATGAATATGAAAATAAAAAACTGAACGAGCTGTAATGTGAAATTTTTTTTAAATTAATTTTAAATGTCAAAACGATGTTCGAGTAAATCATATTTCATTGTTTTTTACTAATGACAGTGAAGTTTTCACTCTTCAACTTCTTCGATTCACTAATATTTCACGATTAATTGTTATGTAATAACTTCTTTTTCTTCATTTATTTCATCAAAAAATAATTGAATCGAATTCGACATTGCAATATTATTTGTAAATATATTTTTGTATTTTGGGTGTGGAGTGTGGGTGTGGGAGAGCTTTAGTGGTGACATCAAAAAATAAAATCAATATTGCTCCATGATGACATCTTCAAATTTTTGACATTTTATATGGTCGACATTTTTCTTTTCGACTAAAATCACTTCGGCATTTTTTTTTCGACATTTTTCCTTTCGACATTTTTTTTTCTTCATTTTCTTTTCGACGTTTTTTGTGTCGACATTTTTTATTTCGGCGTTTTCATAGTAAATCAATTTAATAGACATCATTGCCTATAATGACGGTTAGCTTCTTTCCCAGTTTGTCAGTACAGTAAACTTATTTCTTCAATTATTTTTATATAAATGGATATATGAACCAATTGAAGAGAACTACTTGAACTATTACAAATCGATGTTCGTTTGTTGAAATCAATTTATTCTCTACAAATCATAAGACACTATTTCAATATTATATTCAAAATCATAGGATATTTTTGTCATTCGACTCGAAATAGTTTTTCGATCTTACAAATGAATTTTCAATAATACTAAACAAGTGAAATTCCACTCAAGAAGATAATCGATTAGAGACCACATCGATTTCTATCCAAAGGAAATAAACTGTCAATAATTGTATCTACAAAAAAAAAACTCTCAAATCATATGAGTATGAATATTAAAAAATGGAGCACCTTTTAAAAACTTAATAATATGAAATAATTTTTTGTTTATTAAAGTAATGTCAAAAAGATGTGTAATTAAATAATATATCATCGTTTTTAATTGATGAAGATAAAGATTTCGCTTTTTGACTTCTTCGATTAAATAATGTTTCTTCATCCATCGTTCCCATAATAACATCTTTTTCTTCATTTAATTCATCAACAAATGATTTAAGATTATTCATAAATTTATTTTCAACATTTGATGATGCATCAGTATCTGTATTACCATTCATTGCGGCTCTTATTTCACTTTCATCAATATCAGTAAAGACTTCATCATCTATATAATCGGTTCGTGTAACTGGTGGTCTGTTTGATGAACGAAATAGTCGATCAAGAAAGCTTGCACTTATTACAGGACTATTTTCTTCCAATTGAAATTTTTCATAAATTCGAATTTTTTTGGCATTTTCTGAAACTTCTGTCGCTTGTTTTTCAATTAGTTGTTTATATGATAATGATAAAGGATCTTCAATTTTTGAATTTAATTGATTATTTGTTTCATAATGAAGATCATCAGAAGAAAAATCTTTCGATGCTGAAAAATGATGAAATGTTTTCTTTGTTTTTCTAGGTGATGTACTCTAAATAATATTATCAATGATAAACAAAAAAAATTTTTTTTTTTTATTGAATATTTACCGTCCAAAATTCAGCTTCATCATCAGTTATCCAAGCCAAGGTTTCAATTTTCATTTTACTATCGGTGATTGACATTATTTTGCATTGATGTCGATAAAAATCAACTAATATATATTTCGTACGCGTCACTTCACACGCTCACTATTTGAAAATAAAAATTGCCTTTTTTTTCGTTCGTTTTACTTTGCATTAGAGACAGTACTTGGTTTCTCTGCTGACTTGTGATGGGAACGCAAATGGAGCGACCACAATATCTAACTTTTAATGTATAATCAGTGTTTTTATATTGATTTACACAAATGAGTTCCACAAAACGCTTCAATTGCACTTCATTTTTTTAAAATTTGTAATAGTTTTCGAAATAATCAGGTGAAATGGAATCAATATGGAAATGATGAGGACAAATAAATAATATCCTATATTGAAATAATGTTAAAAAAAATAATTTTCAATTATCACAAACCGAAATCTGGATGGCACGATCAATATCTTATTTATTTAACTAATGTGAATTTTGCTATAAATAGGAATTATGTGCATCATATAAGAATTATCGATAGGCACGAGAGAGAAACCATGGCATTCATTTATTCTTAGTGAATTATGACTGAAGAACATTATTTTTATTGATGGCAACGGTCACTTGAAAACAGAAGAGTACATATAGATATTGACATTTGTAAACTCAAAAGAATTTCAAGTAAAAATGAACATTGAGTTTTCGTTTATTTCATGATGGTTTTACCTGCAGAAGTACTTTATTCTTTAATGGATACAAACACGCGACTCAGTTACATTGTATATGATGGAATTTTTTAATATAAAATAACTCTAATGAAAGTAACTGATCTTACGCTAACATTACCAGATAAACTGCTTGATCTATTTCTTATGTAAATATTGTCTGAGATTCATCACAAAATCAAATGACTCGATCTCAAGTCAGCGTCCAAGAAACGTATTCTTCTTGATCCTAACTATCTCAATTTACGTCAACTCGATATTTTTATCATATACGAAAAACCGATTATACATTTTGTTGATAAAAAATCTGACATTGAGTTTTTTTAATTATGAAGTTATATAAGCAGTTATTGGTTTATTTTTTTACTACTTTATAAATGATGTTCTGTAGATTCTTCTTTCATAAAACAACATATAACTATGAATGCGATAGAAAGCAAAAATATTCAAAAGAAATACCAGTACAAAAATATATGTATAGAAAGTAACCATTAAAATATCTGAAAAAAAAGACATGTTAAATATGAGTTTCACTCGTGTTTAATTCATTTTTCTCTATATGAATGTTTAAAAATAAAAGTATGGTGATGTATAGATAGAGAATGATCAAAACAGGATTCGTTTTTGATACTATTCATAACTGTTGATACGATCAATAGTGACAATTTATTTTCGAATAAGGTCTTGAAATTAAAGAAAAAAGATCTTTCTCAGTCTGCTTGATGATGAAAAGAACTGGATTTTAGATGTTCTGAGAAACGTTTTAGAAGAATATAATTGAATAATAAATTAACAATAAGTTTAACTTTGACCATAGGAATAAAATAACTTTCTATTATATATCTTATTAACATAAGAAAAATAATTCGTCGTCAGATAGAAAAACTCATACAGACATAATGATGGATTTTGATAAAAGCAGCATCGACACTCAGTGTATAGGTCAATCTATCAGTATCCTTAAGAACATTACAGATGATAGACTTATGAATAAATAGAGGCTGTTTATTCATGTTTGCATGAATGTTCTCTACTTTGTACCTTTCGAAATCAGATCATGATAATTGTCTGTAACTAGCCAAAAAGAAAATAATGATATGTGTACAACGAATATGTGAGTAAATCTCTTCTAAGTTATGTTGATTGTGTTCGCCAATCTTCTTTATTTTACATTTTGTCAAAATTTCTATAATGCAATTTTATAGGTTTGATTTATAGTAATTGATTGTCAACTTTTTGTTCACCTCTGTTGAAATAGCATATCAATGTGTGTTATTTTGATGATTGTCTTTATTTACTTGATGGTTACTTTAATCAACTGCGCACGTTAATTGCTAATATTTTCCATACTTTTTCTCTTCGATAAACTATCAACAATGAGCTAAGTTACGCAAGCAAAAAAGACATGATAATAGTTATTATTAAAATATTTATTTTGATATTGATATTGTTCTGGAAACCTCATTGATATTCACTTTCAAACAAAGATATCAGCATCCATTGACAAATGTCAGAGACAATCAAGATGTTTGGGCACGAATCTATCAACGGATCTGACGGATGAAACCAATTTTATTAGTTAGATGCTAATTAGTATCCGGTGTCAACCATAGAGATCGGCTAGAGTCTGTACTAGATTCCGTAAAATTTTGACAAGTAGGATCCGATCGAATTTCAACAGATTCCAACACTCTGGATCCGTATGTTGATTTGTGCCCAGGAATCTCATAGGATTCCATCAAATTATGAAAATTCTATCTATTTTTATCGGATTCAGTTGTCAGAATTGTTCTTCTGGATGTCTCCCTATATATATATCTGTTATACGAAGCAAAAAATTTGAATTTTAAACTTTTTAACCATACTCTTTTACATCTAATAAGAATTTTTTTTCTAAAATATCTCCTTCATTAAAAGCAATAGCATCGCAAGTAAAAGCTAAACTGACGAGAAGAATCTTTGTGGACGTATGAACTCAAAACTCGACTTATTCTTGTACTTAATAGTCCAGCAAAAAGTCTTAATTGATTCGCCATTTTCTGAATATGATTGTGATTTTTTCGAAACAGATACAAACATTTAGTTAATGGAGAGGTTTTATTCCTTTTTAAAGATTTTACCAGTTTCTGATGATAAACGCTAATATTTACTTCTTATAAAACGGACTACCAGGTCCATTGGAAAAGCCTTCCATTCCTTCTTTGTTGCTGAAACTAACGAATTGTAGGTTCGAAGGTTTTTTTCTTGCCAAATTCATCTTTAGAAGCTTCCAAACGTTTTCGATTGGGTTCAGGTCTGACGACATTGATGGCCAATCAATTCGTTGGATTCCATACTTCAATCTCCATTGCTTTGCAAGTTGGGACATGTGTTTTGGATCATTATCTTCTTGTAATTTCCAGTCAGTTGAATTTCATCCAAAGTGGTCTCTGGCAGAGTTGGCAACAGGCAACGCTTATAAATCCTACAAAGCTAGTCGGCCTTGAGATTTTCACGGAAGCAATAGATGCGACCAAAGCCATTGCACGAAAACATCTCCATACGTTCACCTTTATTGGGTACTTCACCGTTCGAAACACTTTTCTCTTCCCTGGCAAATTCCAAACACACCGTTTCAGCTGGTTTAGACGCACAGTAGTCTCATCAGAAAAAATTACTCGATTCCAGTCCATATCACGTGTAGCTTGAGCCCATTGAAGACGTTTCTGTCCATGTTTTTCTGCTAAAAGTGGTTTCGATATCGATGGACTAAACTTAGCTCCAGATTCTTTCAATCGACGTCGAAACGTCTCTTGACTGATATGTAGCTTTTGCCGCTTCAAGACATGTTGTATGTCACGTGTTGTGGCAATATTGTCGTTGCTGACGAGATCACTAATTCGTTGGTCCACTTTTTCTGTTGTACCACGAGGTCGTCCAGTGCGCTTCAAGTCACTTAGATCTTTCGATTCTTTCCACCTGTTGAGCCAATATTGTACGGTACTCTTTGCACAATTCACTACTTTCGAAACAGCCTTCACATCAAGTTTTAGTCCCATTGGATGATGAGATAAAAAGACAATTTCATACCGTTTGTCCACTGAAAGTGCCATATTCCACTATTGATATATGGAATAACCTTTAAAGTTGCAATCAAGCTATATGAGCAGGAAGCTACTTCAGTTGTCTATATATAGTTGTGGAACGAAGATTCAAGAAAGTTCTAGAATTTTCTAGGGGGCCGAAGACTTATGTGGAGTACTGTGTATTAAATCATTTCTGGTCTTATATGTGTATGCACATTCTGATGGTTCACATTCATTGTAATAACTTTCGTAAATATTGATCCAATTCCATTTTTCAACTATTAACTGATTCACTATATCTTGGATGGTCGTATTCGGTGAATACTTACTGTTAAGGAAATATTCTTCCTTATGAACTATAGATGTGCATGTTCATTTTCCTTTCTCTTTCTGTTACATGTATCTGTTCTTTAGTTCTTGCTCAATTGAAATTGTTCGTTCGTGTCTATC